AAAACCAGCTGATTAGTCAAACCTCCATGTATTTGGAAGTATAGTGTACGTGATGTACAACTCCCAAGAAATTTCAAAGCTGGATCCAAAATCCAGGAAATGTAAATTCTTGGGGTATGCTGATGGAGTAAAGGGGTATCGCTTGTGGGATCCCACTGCCCGCAAAGTGATCATCAATAATGATGTTATCTTTGTAGAAGATAAGCTATAAAGAAAAGAAGATGATGATAGCGCTAAAAAGTCAGAGACTACACAGATACATGTGGAAAATGAGGTTGAACAAGGAGATTTTTCTGAAGCATAACCATCACAAGATGAACAAGAACCAGAGAATTCTGAAGCTCCAACAACTCGTCAATCAGATCGTGTGAGAAGACGTCCCAATTGTCACTCAGATTATGTTATAGAAGGTAATATTGCATACTATCTTTTAACAGAGGACGATGAGCCATCAACATACCAGGAGGCAATAAACAGCTCAGATGCTTCACTATGGATGATGGCAATGCAAGAAGAAATCGAAGCCCTTCATAAAAATAATACATGGGTCCTTGTGCCACTACCACAAGGAAGAAAGCCAATTGGTAACAAATGGGTTTTCAAAATCAAGCGAAATGGTGATGATCAAGTTGAGAGGTATCGTGCAAGACTGGTGGTCAAAGGATATGCTCAAAAAGAAGGTATTGATTTCAATGAAATATTTTCTCATGTGGTTCGACTAACAACAGTTCGAGTAGTTTTGGAAATGTGTGCTACATTGGACTTACATCTAGAGCATCTAGATGTTAAAACAGCTTTTCTTCATGGAAATCTTGAAGAAGAAATTTATATGCTCCAGCCTGAAGGTTTTGAAGAAAAAGAAAAAAAGAACTTGGTTTGCAGGTTGAACAAATCTTTGTACGGTCTAAAGCAGGCGCCAAGGTGTTGGTATAAGAGATTTGATTCCTTCATTATGTGCCTTGGATACAACAGACTTAATGCTGACCCTTGTACTTATTTCAAGAGGTCTGGTGATAACGATTTTGTTATATTGTTGTTGTATGTGGATGACATGTTGGTTGCAGGACCCAACAAAGATCATATTGAAGAATTGAAGGCACAACTGGCTAGGGAATTTGAAATAAAGGACTTGGGATCGGTAAACAAGATTATAGGGATGCAAATTCACCAAGACAGAAGTAATAGGAAGATTTGGCTTTCACAAAAGAATTATTTGAGGAAGATCTTGTCACGATTCAGCATGCAAGATTGTAAGCCAATTTCTACCCCTCTTCCTATTAACTTCAAATTATCCTCCAATATGAGTCCTAGCAGTGAAGAAGAGAGGATGGAGATGTCTCGAATGCCGTATGCATCAGCAGTGGGAAGTTTAATGTTCGCTATGATATGCACAAGACCAGACATTGCACAAGCAGTGGGAGTGGTTAGTCGGTACATGGCGAATCCAGGCAAAGGGCATTGGAATACAGTAAAGAGGATCCTGAGATACATCAAAGGGACTTAAAATGTTGCATTATGTTACGGAGGATCAAACTTACTAATCAATGGGTATGTAGATTCTGACTATGCAGGCGATTTGGATAAAAGCAAATCTACTACATGATATGTGTTTAAAGTTGCTGGTGGAGCTGTAAGCTGGGTTTCAAAATTACAGTCAATTGTGGCTACATCCACAACAGAAGCAGAATATGTAGCAGCTACATAAGCCAGTAAAGAAGCAATTTGGTTGAAGATGCTATTGGAGGAGCTTGGGCATAATCAAGAGTATGTCTCTCTGTTTTGTGACAGTCAAAGCGCCTTGCATCTAGCAAGGAATCCAACATTTCATTCAAGGACAAAGCACATACGAGTTCAGTACCATTTCATTCGTGAAAAGGTGGAAGAAGTGACGGTAGATATGCAGAAGATCCATACCAAAGACAACATAGCAGATTTCATGACCAAGGCGATCAGTACTGATAAATTTACTTGGTGTCGATCCTCTTGTGGCATGTCAGAAACGTAAGCAACATGAAGGTACAAGGTAGAAAGAATGGTGTGAAGATATAATTGTTCCAATCAAATCTTCAAGTGGGAGATTGTTGAAAGTCAAAAAGGGAGAAGGAAACAAATGGGGCGGCTTGGCAGTATTAAGGGCGGCTAATGTTAGTCAAATTTGGCCACCAAATTTGATAAAATAATAAAGGGTAAAATACCCAATTTAGTCACTTTACTTTTAGGGTATTTATAAGATTAGTCCTTAAGGCTTCAACTATAAATACCCTACCTCATTTAGCTTTAAAACCATCCCAAAGCATTCTAGCTTTCTTCCAATACTAGAGAGAATTTAGAGAGTTTCTTAAGAGTTGTTTTCTTCTTTTTATCAAGAAAGAATTATCATTGTTTTCTCCTTGGTAGATCGAGAGAAGTTGTAATTCCTATTTTCTCATAGTGTGATGCCCATTTAAATTTTTTATTACTAAAATATAGATACTAATTTATCATTATTACTACTATTATTAAAAATAAAAAATAATTTGGGGTTGTAAATCGGTACCACCAATGTTGGCATAAGCAATAATGTGATGCCCTCCATCACTTGGACCACTTGCATTGATCTGCCTGTCATTATCTCGGTACAAGGTATGACCGACCTATATTATCACCAAATCGGTACCACCAATGAATACGTAATAAATTGGAGCAAAATAAAGGAAAGAGATCGATAGAAAAATTTACAAAAGGGAGGTCGATCCAGAAAACAATCTTTACGACCACGATATAAGATTGTTAACTATTAGTAAATCAAAGATTAAATTAATTAATTGATTAATTGAATTAAATTTCAATTCAATCAATTAATTTAAATAAAATCGGAAAAAAATATTCCTAACAACATTCAACCATAATAAAAAAAATCTATTCATATCCTCCAAGGAAAAATGATGTAAAAATTACCGTTTTTGAAACTCGATCGAGTAAGATGAGGAAGATTAAATTATATTTAATTAGATTTTAGATTGAGTGGTATTAGCCAATATTAAATCATTTTTATGGTTTGTTTATTGATGCGATCATATATGTTCGTATTTATTTTTTATTCGAATTTTTAGTTAGGTTTTTAACCTTTTCCTTATAGTCATTGTGTAATCTTAAATGTCAAGTTTTGTGTTAATCGTTATAAAAAAATATACTAATTATGTGATTATTTTACGTTTATGATCATAAACATTCATTGTAATTTCGTATATTTCATTTTTCTAATAAATCTAATTGTTTCTATAAAATATGTTACAATTTTATAATCTTTTAAAAATTTCATTTTCTTAGTTTCTTAATAATTTTAATTTTGAAAATTAGATTTTTTTTATTAAGCTAAGGTTATTACAAAGTAGTATATGTTCTAAATACTCTCAACTAATTGGCAGTAACATTCAATCACACTGCTGCAGCCGCTGGTGCTCAAACCCGTGACCTCTAAGAACAATAACGATTCCTTTAACCACTGAGGTAAGTTGGTTCGTGCACTAAATGAGGGATGTATCATGAGGACTTCCCAGGAGGACACAATATTAGCCGATATCCAATATTAAATTATATTTAATTAGATTTTAGATTGAGTGGTATTAGCCAATATTAAATCATATTTTTTTAACAATGACAACTTGATTTTATTAATAAAAAATGGAATTAATCAAAATTATAACCCCAAAAAGAAAATTGAGGACAACAATCACAAAAATTCATACATAAAATAAAAATATTAAATTCAAAGATACAAAGAAAAACGAAATTTTTCGTTGAGAATGACATCTAACATTAAAAGAAACTAGTAACCTTAATAAACTCATTATTTCCATCGAACGAGACGTTTTACAAAGTGGTGAACAAACCAAATAATTTGACAGACTGCTTCGCAACATAATTCTAATTATATCGATAAACAATATTTTGCCAAAGAGGAGATCTGACAATATGTGACTACCGACAAACCAATCAAAAAACAAATGGTGTGAGATCTTTGTGCGAGCACCAACATGACCGTAGAAGTATTCGAGAAATGTATCAAAAGCCACAAGGAACGTGACACAAGAAAAGAAAAAAATTGCTACAAGAGCATAGAAAAGTGTGTCACAAATACATAGATTCTTATTTAAATTAAAAAAAAACTTAAGAAAAAAATAAAGACCATAATATGAAAAAAAGAAAGAAAAATAATAATCACCTATGGTCGGTAACTAATATATTATTAATATACATACTTGTATGCTATCAAAGAATCCATAATATACCAACGAGGTTGGTTCAACTAGTAAGCAATTTGATATCGCTTAAGCAAGGTCTCAGGTTTAAATCCTTGTGTATGCAGAAAATCTCTGCTGGGAGACTCATCCACCAAAATCATGTGTGCGATTAGAGTCGGTCCAGATTAGTCAAAACGAAACCTTGAAACTGTAATACAAAAGAAATCACATAATATGAACTGCCAAAAAAAACGATCACATAATATGATGTATACATATATTAATAATAAATAAACCATTAAAAATTATATTTAGAAACCAAGTAACTGAGATAGTCAGCAACTGGTGGAAGGTGAGAACTAGGGATGGAAATACTAGACCAAATACCATTCCAAAAACTACATTACTTAATTATTTTTTTGATGTAATCAATAACTGACGTGTTATCCCACCCAACCCAATTAAACAAATACAGTAGTGCGTAGTCTAAATAAATTGACATTCCATTCATTTTATGACACGTGTAGTTTAAAGTAAGATATATTAAGTTAATATAACTTAAATGGTATAAAAGTTATCTTCGTGGATCAAGTTAATTCAAACAGTTTCGAAAATTCAAGCAAAAAAGAAATAGAAAGGAGAATATGCTCAAAGATGCAAAGATCCTATTGTATCAGTGTTTGCCACCTAACTATTACATAATATTCGATGAATAAAACTTGAGTAGTTTGCCTAATTTATAAATAGACTGTTTGGTCCCCTTCGTAGTATTCAATCTTCTTCTCCTCTTTTTCATATAATAATCATGGTTGTTTTAAGCCAGAAAACTACTCTCCCAACGCTTCTTCTTTTTCTTCTTGGCCTGTTATCTGTTTGCTGCTGTCGGGCAGAGCTTCTGCGGTTCGAACATGAGGCGAAACCGGACGGGTCGATCAGTTTCTTGGTGGTCGGAGATTGGGGAAGAAAAGGACTCTATAACCAATCTCACGTAGCTCTTCAGGTCATTATTTCTACTATATATCTAACTATTCTCTTAATCATAATCAAACTAATGATATATATAGTATTTTTCATGATGATAATATTCTCAACCTTTTAATGTTTATGTAAATTAAATGATTAATCGTACATATATTTATAATTTTTTTAATAGTCTTAGATAATTATAATATAATATCTGTTTAGAATTTTTCTTAGCCATTAACAACGTACGAACACTCTATATATGTAACTACTCAAACTCAAATCATCAAAAAAACAACGATATATTTTATCACTGAAAACACTATATCTATAATCTTAAAAAATGGATTGAAGTAATCTCCTCATTTGATGAATAGCTCATCACATAATTAATCATGCATATTGATAGGGACTATCTTAGTTTTGCATTATTATTAGTTCATTATTCGACAAATTTAGGCACTTTTCGAAGAAAGAATCCACGTCACTCGGTTATTATTATCACTATATTTCAACCATAAAGTTCCAGTTTCAACCGGCCTAATTTCGACACCTTCTCAATAAATCAAAGCATATAAATCACTTTTGCATCCATAATATAATGGATCCTTATTCAGATAATTATATATATTTGTTTATAGAGTTTAAAAAGTTGTTATATATGTTATCTTTTTTATTGATATAATATAATAGTTCTAGTTTCAATGACAAAAGATAGAATAATTATCTTATTATATATATTTTTATGAAATATAATACAATTTATCAGGATAACTGTTTATTCTAATATAATAGTTATTATATAAATCTTTGAAAAGAAAAACAAGCATGTTTTATATCTGGACAGGTCAGACTCCATTTTTTATTGCATAGCAATGGAAACACTTCAAAATTAAATTAAAAGTAATATTTAATTAATGGAGCATAGAGATAAATGGATAGAGCGTCCAGTAAACTGGTTTCAAATATTTATATAATTTCGTTTATTAGGTTAAATAAATGAGTATGAATAATTTTTTATATTCATTTAATAAATGAATTAACATGAATAGATGTGTTCTTTTATCGAATCGATTATAAGCTCATTTATCTTATTCTATTTTTTCCTTATAATTTTTTTTACATTTTAAATATTGATGAAGTTGTTGACTAAATTGAATACATATTAAATTTTGGAGTTTAAATTGTGAAGTTTAAGGAGCTTAGGAGTAGTGACATAATTTCATCATCTTTTTTATCTTGCAAATAAGTGGATAAAAAGATAGTGTTAGTTGCCGAGGGACTCGAATCAATGCCCTTTGGCATTAGTTCAACTACGCCATTGCTACTTCGTCTAGGTCTTGGGCGAGTTATGAACTACCTCGAAAAATATTCAAGAACGTAAAACAAACATATTCGCGAATACATTTAGAAATAAACAAACCAACACGATACTAAGAAATTGAAAGAACATGAACACTATCATATTTGTTCATATCCGATTCATTTACACCTCTAATTGAACTAGTGATATGATGATAAACATATCTTTAATTATCCATATATGTTGATGCAGATGGGAATGATTGGAGAGAAATTAGACGTGGACTTCGTAATATCGACGGGAGATAACTTTTACGAAGATGGATTGACGGGTGTAAGCGATCCAGCTTTCCATCAATCCTTTTCTGATGTCTATACAGATCCAAGCTTGCAAAAGCAATGGTACATTGGTAATATATTTTAACCTTAATATCCAAATTATTTGTATATTAATCAACGGAATTATTAAGTTGTTTGGTTTTTGGTTTCAGTGTTGGGTAATCATGATTACAGGGGTAACGTTGAGGCTCAATTAAGTCCCTCTCTTACAGACATGGATAGCAGATGGCTTTGCCTCAGATCTTTCATCCTCAATGCTGGAACTGGTAATCGCTAACCCTACAAATGTACCGTCAGACGTCCCTTGAAAATTTTAAATTATAATAAAATTATGTCCTTCGCTAACTCTACATCTACATGTTGAGATCTTTTAGATTTAGGGATTTTCATTTTCATTTTCTCTTTTCTTGGTGCAGAAATGGCTGAAATTTTCTTTGTTGACACTACTCCTTTCGTGACCACGTATTTCACAAATCCAAAAGAACATGTCTATGACTGGAAGGGCGTCTTACCCAGAAAAAAATACATTGAGAATCTTTTATTAGTAAGTAAAATATATAATAAAAAACTAAAATAGTCGATATCGATATACATATTCATATTCGACATTGATTAAAAAGGTCATTTTTAGGAAGTGGAATCGAGTTTAGGAGAATCCACGGCAAAATGGAAGATAGTAGTGGGTCACCACACAATCAAAAGTGCTGGACACCATGGTAACACTGATGAACTCAACATGCTTCTTCTTCCACTTCTCCAGGTTTCAGATGATACTAATATTCTTTTTTTTTCCAATATCTAAATTTAATTTTAATTTAAACACTTTTTTTCTTTTAATTTTCCAGGCATACGATGTAGATTTTTATATTAACGGACATGACCATTGCTTAGAGCATATTAGCAGCCCTGAGAGGTATTAACACTATTTGATCTTAATAATATATATATATATATATATATATTGTAACTTTATTTTTTGAAAATGATATTCACTAAAATTGATTTTCCACCAAAAAATAATGTAGTCGGATTCAATTCTTAACGAGTGGAGGTGGATCAAAAGCATGGAAAGGAGATATTAATCCGTGGAATCCAAGAGAAATGAAATTCTATTACGATGGTCAAGGTTTCATGTCAGTTGAAGTGACTCAGATGGATGTTGGTATCAAATTCTATGATGTTTTTGGCAATGAACTGCACAAATGGAGCACTTCCGAGCTCGGGAAATTTGTAATTTAGTTATAATCAAGGATGGGGACAAGACAATCTCTGAAATTTTTCAAATCATCATATATTTTATATGTTTTCTTTTTGTATTTTTATTCATAGTCCATTAGACTCATTAGAGTATTATAAATTTACTCTCTGAGTATAAAATCACGCGTATAAAATTCCTATAGTGCCAAAATTATGTCTTTGTTCACTTTAGGTGTATAAAATATTTTTCCACAAATAAATGTTAAACGTTTTCTTTGCTATTACTTTTAAATGTTTGATCTGCTAGGGTTATTAAAAATAGTTATCCATTTAAAATTTGACATGTGGCAGGTTTATAAAATTTTATTTTAAAAATTTTAAAATTAAAAAAAACTCATATTTCTATAAAATCTCAAAAAAAATCAAATCTCTAATTTTAAATCAACATTAGCGTTGCCATCCACAAGCAATCACCCATCCATCATTACTCATCCACTAATCGATCATCAACCCCAAATCTTGAATCCCTAATTCCAAATCCCTATCCCTTATTACTACCCCTTCACAATATGCGCACCATTCATATGTATTTGGGTTTTTTTATTTATTTTTTTGGTAATGATGATTTTGGGTTATAATTTAAAGGATTCTGCACAATTTTTCAAAAAATTGAAAAAATTATTTTAGGATTTTTTTACTAAATTGGGTTTTCCTTTAAATATAAAAAATATGATTTGAAAGAGTTGTCACCGATCTTTATTTAAGGTGTGACTGAATCACTCAAAAATATTTTATTATCTTAATAAAATTTTAACTTAAAAATTATTAAAAAAATGTTTGGTCTACTTTCCATAAAAACGAGTTTGGGAGTAATTAATGTAACACCCTAATGCGATACGACTCGAGGTCGACTGATTAGAATGTCACACGAGACCATAGTAGTGGCTAATCCAAAAAAATTCTTTTAAACTTTTGTAAGACGCCATTTAAAGACCATACCATAAAATGTAAATCAACATAAATATTTAAGTTTAAAAATGGGAGCTCCTAAAATACAAATATCAAAATAATTTGAGTTTTCAAAATAAAGTTATGACTCAAGTAAAAGAGGGCCTATGAATAATACATGCCCACTAAAGAAAGAGACTCAAGACGTACTTTACTGCTACTCGGACTGTCTAGAATGCTAATTACGTGATAAGCTCCTCGGATGCTCCTCCTAAGAACCTGCGCACGGGAACAAATTTCGAATGTTGAGCTCACTGGCCCAGTGACATACTAATAACTAAATCATACTAAGAGTGTTCATTAAATACTCATGCTAGCAAGTAAAAATAAAGGGAGTAAGTAAACACATATACTGCACAATGCACTAGGGTAGGCATCATGGTGCGGTCGGAGGGTTACGACATCTCGAGACACACACCCCTCTAGCCCACCTAAGATGAAATCCGAAATTCTATATCGGAAACAACACTAGGCTAACCCACCCCTCGCGAGTGTTCAGACCTCGCGCCCAAGTTAAACACAGAAGTGTCTCGCGTACTTGTTTAGGTATATCCTGATATTCTATTTCATAAGATAATCGTCATCTACTAAAGTAACTCGGGTGTCATGTCTATTTTCTGAGCATCAAACAAGGATAGTTTTATGCCATATTATTTGGTCCCTCAATTCTCACTTTGAAAATCCTTGGGTTTCTTACCCAAAAATGTATGACGGTATCGATACTGAGCCTCTAAGTATCGGTACTGACCCCCAAGTATCGATACTCACCCTGTGGTACCGATACTGACGACTATTGGAAACTATAAAGAAAAAGGGTAGTGTTGATACCCTGAATTTGAGTACTGATATTTCTGAGTTAGAGTATTGATACTATCTCGAGTACCGATACTAAATTTGGCTTCGATATTTTAAAAAATAACCCAATATCGATACGCCTAAGGAGAGTATTGAGACCATTGGTACTGATACTCCCATGAGTATCGATACCAAAATTAGCTACTGGAATTTCAAATCCAAATGGGTATCGATACTCCCCCTAAGTATCAATACTAGTCCAATGGTATCGATACCCGATGAACGTTTATCGATACCCCCAGTCTAAAAATTCCTTATTTTTAGGCTATCCAAAAAATAATATTGATCTTGTTCATCCGGTACCGATACTCGAGTCCAAAAATTATGTACTTGGGCACAAAATTGACTTCTCAAAACTCCCAAAAGTTTCACTAAGTTGTCTTAGTGTTAGTAAAATATTATGTATAATAGTAGGGATCATGATAGACCATTAAACATGTTGATTAACACCTTAAATCAAGATTTACAATGAATGCCTACTCATGTTTCATAAACTCGTTACTCACTAGCTAGATGCATTCCATTGACTCACAAATGGTATGAAGAAGTTGTGAATGTGTTACCTTAGCTTTCTAGCTATTGGAAACATCCTCAAATCAACCAATGACCAATTTCTCTGTCACTTTCCATTTTTCAGGGGCTAAATTTAGAATGTTTTGAAACTTCAGTATCAATTTATAATTTCTCTAAAGTAGAGGACTATTAACGTAATTAGCCTAAGGGTTGTTTAAAAACCCTTTTCCCCTCCTTCTTCCCTTCTTTTCCCAGTTTGTGCAAACCCTTTTTCTTCTATACTTTCTTTCTTTCATCTCTCTCAACCTCTCCATATCACTTTTGCTAAATTTCTTTTTTGTCGTTCTTCAGTTGGTCGTGTAGTGTACCGTCGGCACCCTATTGTTCATTGTGTCGTTCCCGTTTACCTGGTGGTCTTGGTTTTCTGTCGTCATTAGTGTTAGCATTTTTTGAGGAGGAAAAGTTTTGAGTTTTGTTAAAAACTAAATTTTCGACGTTCTTTTTCGTAAACTGACCTCTGTAAATGACTCCCCGTACGTAAAATTATTTTTTTTTTTGGAATTTTCCGTCAAAAAATTGATCACAAAAAATGTCTACATGTGCTGCCATGCGAGTGTGCAACTACTCTAGATAGGGATGGCAGACATGTGCAATTTCGTGGATTTCGCATCGTATCCGCTCCAATTGGGGCGGGAATGGATACAAGTTTAGTGGGTAATGAGCGGGTGTGGATGTAAAAAGTCATATTCACTGTTAGTAGTGGGTAGGTGATGGGTCTGAGACTTTACCCACCTCGCATCCACCCACCTCATATTCGCCATCCCACTAACTATCCACCATATAGATTTTGGATCATTATGAATTTAAGTATAATTTCAAAGGTTATTTTGTAAATCTTAAGATTCTATAGGACGTGACTTGTAATTTAACCAAAAGTTAGGGTATAAACTTTTTTAGAATTGAATACCATAGTTTCTTATATCTCAAATTGGTGGGTATGAGCGGGTACAAATATGTACAGGATAGGTGGTAGTTATCCAATTAGGTAGTGGGTGTGGAGATGGATTTGAGAATGTATCTGCATGGGCGGGTGTGGATTTAAAAACTTTACTCATCGTGGGTGGTGGGTAGGTGGTGGATACGAAAATATTAAGTGGGTATGGGGATAGGGGGAAGGGGTATATGTACCCACCCCGCCCATTTTCCATCCCTAGCTCCAGGCGGCTTAATCTCCTCAATCGGCCAAATCAGTTAACGCTGGAACAAATCGGCTGAACCGATCTGACCAATCATGGACCATTTTGACCAAACCAAACGCGACCCATTGAACATTGATTGTTGACCATTGAGTGTTAACCGTTGACTTTGACGGTTAACTTTAACATGTTAACTTTTTTTAAAGACTTATATATCTATGTTTTTCGACGTCATGAGTCTACTTTCGTAGTTTTTTTTTTTTGCCAAATTATGAACAAAAAGTCTTGTTTTACGTTGCTTATCGCTTAAAGTCTTGATTATGTTAATTAAATTGTGAGATTTTGAACTCACTTTTTGATGTTATTTTCTGAAGTTACTCTCATATATCTGGACCGCTATCCAGTAGATCCTGATAGAGACACCAAAATCAAGATAGATAGAGGAATTCTATTCGTTTTAGTATTCTACTAAAAGAATTTACGGAGTGATGTAGACATTTAAAAAGAATCGAGGCATTAAAATATTTAAGAAAAATATACAAGACATCAATGCTATTAACATTTTTACTTTTTTTAAAAAATAAATATTTTAACCTTTTGTAATATTTTTTATATAATATTAAAATTAACCTTAATTTTTGTTTAAATGATCACGTTAATCAATACTTTTAGAATATTTTAATATTTTAATATATTTTATTAAAATAACTCATATTAGATGAGAATAGTTATGTAACTAACAGTGAATGTATGTTGTTGACGTAATACTTCTATATGTGCTTAATTAATGAATTAAAATATATTATATCATCATTTCAGGTGATATAATATATCACATCATCATTTTAGACAATGTAGCATATGCACAGTCAACAATAACACCTTAAGGGTGCGTTTGGTTCACAGAATGTAAGATTACCAGTAAGAATGTAAGATTATCAGGGAATAGGATTACTAGGAATGTTGTATTTTGTGTTTGGTTGGTTTAGCAGGAATGTAAGATTACCGTGTTTGGTTAAAGGAATAAAAGATTATTGGAATTTATATTTTACCAAATTGTCCTTATTATATATTTGTTTTTTTAACAAATTGGAAAATATTTATATATTTTCCTTTAAAAAAATTAAATTCATTAAATTTATATATTTTTTTACAAAATTGAAAATATAAAAAGGTTTAATGAAAGGGTAAAATTTTATTTTAACACTTGAACTTCATATAAAATTTTAATTATAGACTTTTTTTGTAAATCTAAAATAGTTTAAGGATAAATTTGTAATTTAACCTTCATAGAATTTTTATTATTCAATGACAGAAGAATGATATATTTGAGAGAGAAAATTTAAGGGCATTTTAGTCCAAAACGACAGTAATCCAACAATACCTAAGGAAAGGGAAGTAATGATGTTCCCGGAAATATACCCCAAAAATCTATTATTGGTAATAAAACATTACCGAGAATGAGATTCCCGGCTAACCAAATATGGGAATGTGGATTCCATTCCCATGGGAATCCCACATTCTTTGATCCAAACACCCCCTAAGTGACATAATACATGACATATCATCAATTTAAATGTGTAATATATATTATATTATTGCTTTAAATGATGTGATACATGTTATATTGTTACTTTGGTGATATGATATATGATATATTAATAATTAAGAATATGTGAAAATATCACATTAGTAATATGTAATTGTTTTTTAGTCGACTAACAATTTACTTTCAATATGGATCATTTTGATTAAAATTCAAAACATTTTAGATTAAAATATTTCAAAAAAATTATTTGAACAAATATTCAAGAATAATTTTATTATTATACCTATTTAATTAATTATTGATATAAAATTTATTGATCGATTAATTCATATCAGGTTTTGCAGAAATCCGTTACAAAGGCGATCATCCCTACTCAATTTGTTCCAAACACAAACATCAGAATTTAAACCATTGACCTTGCTTAAAATTTTGGTGTCTCATCTTACTATATCAACTAATTGTTAGTATTATTAAACCTATTTTTTTATAACATGACAACAACCTCACCGATTTTAATTAACCACAATTTTTCACCATATCCACCTTTTCCACATTTCCATTTCAAGACTAAACAAAACGGTCAACGGATGACCCCTCCTATATAAACAAAAATCTACACCTTAATTTACTCAAAAAAAAAATTCTACACCTTAGTATAGCAGATCTATTAGAATCCGCTTCCTTTCCCAGAATCACTTCTGAGAAGAAAAATGGCAGCTAATTTCATAACGCAATCAACTCTGGTTCAACCAAATCCTTCATTTTTTTGGTAAAACTATTCAAAACCCATCTCTGTCTCGCCTCTCCAAGCTCTCTCCTTTACCTAGTCTCTTTTTTCCTCTCCATCTTATCTTGGGTTTTCTCTCTCTCTCTCTCTTTTTTGGTACAGAGTATCAAAGGATTGTTCTTTTATCTGTTTTATTGTTCTTTGCAGGTGTTTGTTTTTTACCGAAAAAGAGAACTGGAGCTGTAGGAAAACTTACATTGGCATCGGCAGTATCCGACACAAAATCTTCAATTTCAGAAGACGATAAAAACAGCAAGAGTCCCATTATCGTCATTGACAATTATGATAGTTTCACCTACAATCTTTGCCAGGTTTCCTATTCAAAATTTGTGTAATTTTCGTTTGACCCCAAGTTTCTCTAAGTTGTCCTTAATTGATTCTTAGTTGCTGTAGCGTACAAATATTTAGGAAAAATTACTTTGATTGGTAGAGAATACTTTTATTTTTTTTATCGAATATTGTTAGGCAAGAGTTGATCGTTTAATTAAAGTTAAGAAACCAATTAAACGGATATGATAGGAAGAAAATGTACTGAATGTATATGGTGTAGGAATGGTTTCTTTTACTATTGACAATTCGTTGTTTTTGGTATATAATTAAAGTCCTTTTCCAGGGGTTTTGAATTTCAAATGAGGTTCTTCAATCTTAGCTATATTAAAATTGTTGTAATTTCATTATGGCTAATTGTCAACATGAATCATGATGTGTTGAAAGTGATTCCTGCTAAATGTTCCTATACTGTGTTGATTTCGATTTGGTATTTTTTATGGTGGAGGTCCAGTTTGACGGTCTTGACCGATGAAAGTCGATACTAGATAGCAAGTGTGGTTCATCCCGTTCTTGTCTTTCTCATTTTAAGAAAATGTTCAACTTATTGTCGCCTTACGAAATGAGTAATAAGAGTTGAATTACTGAATTTTCAGAACTTGAAATGTTGCATATACAATATTTTTGAAAAATCTCGGTTTATCTTTCTCTTTGCTCTAAGTTGTATCCTTGATTAAGAATGGAATATCCTCAAAGCTTGCCTATAATGTTGTAGTATTTGGGAGAGCTTGGATGTCACTTTGAGGTTTATCGAAATGATGAGTTGACTGTAGAAGAGTTGAAAAGGTAAGAACTAAGCCTTTTACTGGTGTAATATTTTATTATTAATCCACTCATGTAACATGAGAGTTACTTGGATGATGAATGATTCTTCTCCAAGTTATATTCTCGATATATTCTATCCAATGACACTTTTCTCGTTATGTTTGTAGGAAAAACCCTAGGGGGGTGCTTATCTCCCCTGGTCCAGGTAAGAGTTCGCTCTATATTTTAAAACTATAATTGAATGAAACATAAGAATCTGTTATGTTTAAGCATGGTTTATATTTTTTTTATTTTGTCCTTAATATAGGAGCACCCCAAGATTCTGGAATATCATTGCAAACAGTTTTGGAACTTGGACCCATTGTACCTTTATTTGGTGTTTGTATGGGGTTGCAGTGCATTGGTGAGGCTTATGGAGGTGAGTGCTCTAGGTTACCTTTTGTAACAGTTGTTAGTGTTTCTATGGATTTAAATATTTAAGCTAAGAAAGCTAAATCGAGTATTTATATTTATGTTTATCATGGAAGCTTAGCTGTTTGCTTGTTGGATTTTGACGTGATTTGTTTGACTGCGATGCAAAATGCAGGAAAGATAGTCCGTGCTCCCTACGGTGTTATGCATGGCAAAAGTTATCTCATGTATTATGATGAGAAGGGGGAAGTGTCGCAACCGTCTTTCGGTTGGGTCTCGGAATTGGGTTTCGACTTGAAAAATGTGGATTGGAGTCGCCACCGATCATTTATTTAAAAATAAATGGGTTGATCGGATACCCTATTTCTTACCTGATCTGCGTCTTACCAGAAATATGTCGGGCTCGGGAGTCGGTTATGGTCAAGGAAGGATTAGTACCCTTGAACCGCTCTTTCGGTACTACGTAATTTCCAGTTGTCTTAATTAAGAAAAATGACAAGTTAAATTAAAAGGTAAAGTTTCGATCCTAATTACTTACCCTTGATTGATTTGAAAAAAAAATCGAGAAATGTGTTAGATAAACAAGGTAAAGAAAACAAATAAGATACAAGGGAAAAATAAAATAAATAAGTAAGATAAGAAAAAAATAGTAAAGTAATAATTATATATAGTAATATTTGAAAAAAGGAAATATATATATATATATATATATATATATCAAAGTATTAATAAAATAAATAAGCTATATATGTACACCAAATACTTAAAAATAGAAAAGCTACCCTCTCAATTCACCGAAAGTGGGGGCTTTAGTAAGAAATAAGATAAAAAATGGGCCCTCTAGGTTAGTAGTATATAATATAATGTTTAATAATAATAATGATAAAGACACAAAGTTTTTTTTAAAAAAATAATAATATAATAATAATGAATAAAAAAACAAAAATAATAAAAAATTATATAAATATATAAAATTATAAGATATATTACATAAATAAAGAAATAATCAAATAAAAATAATTAAGAATATATATATTTAATAATATGTATATAAATAAACTATTAAAAGTATAAAGAATATATACGACTAGATAAAGATAATTACAATATATATATAGTAATATTAGACTTATAAGTAAAATATTAAAGAAATATATATATAATAATAATAAAATATAGTAAAAAAATCAAATGAAAATAATTTAATATATATATATATATAATAATAATAACATGAATAATAAAAATAAATGAATAAAATATCCATATAATAAATAAAGAGACTAATATAGATTTTTAAAAAGCTCTTCCCCTCCTTTAACCGAAAATCAAACCGATATTTAAAAATAAGCCTCGGGGTAGATCTAGGTTCGAAACTTCGAAACCCCACCCATTTTGGTCATCGGCACAACCCACGTTTTGGGTTATTCGAACCAAATCTCAAGAAAAATAACATGCACATGCAAAAGAAAGAAAAAAGAAAATGCTACCTTTTATTTCCTTTTCGAATCCTTTACAATAGCTTTGCCTTTGTATCTTCCCGTGCTTTCCTCTATGTTTTGTATGTAAATCGTGTCTTACAATGGTGAGTTACAATGGCTATTTATAGTGCTTGTGGATCTTATCTTTAAGAGTTTAAATCATAAAATTCTATCCTATTTTTTGAATCCTAGCAAAATTCTATCATATCTTTAGGAGTTTGAATCCTAAAATTCTATCCTATTTTTAGGAGTTTGAATCCTAGTAGGACGAAAAATGTGTGTTGACAGCTGCCCCTCTTTGCCCATAGTCGTGTAACGGGGATAGGGCAAAGATTAAAAGACACACTTTTCGTTCAGTGGAGTTGAAAATTAACTGTGATGTTTCAATAACTCCCTGTCGAATTGAGTTACGGATGACTCCTCCATCGTTAAGTCGAGTTCATCTTGAAATGATATGAAATTAAAGCCGTAGTTCAGAATTTGAATCAGCACGTGGCCTCCCGTTACCCTTCGGTCTTCTTCTCGGTTTAAAGACCTTGGATCGGAATCGAACTCAGAAATCTTCATTGACAGATAGCTTTTTCTTGACTTAAGCTATACTGTTTGAAAATGGTTTCTTCTCACTAAGGCACGGCTAACCCAGGTCCTCTTCTCGACTTGAAAACCTCGACTGCAACCGAAAAGTAGTGCGATTGATGTGTCATCGAGCTGAATGGAGTTGAACTCGACAATTTTGATGGCAGATAATCCTTCTTTGAGTTTGATATCCTTCGTCGTGAAGTTGAAATCCAAGTAAGTAGCATTGTTCCAAGTCCAATATCCTCCGTCGTGAAGTTGAAATTGGCTCTGGAACCGGGAAATTGTTTGTTGACAACCAGTCGTCCCTTCGTTGTGAAGTTGAACTTGTGTTGTCTCGAGTCCAATATCCTTCGTTGTGAAGTTGAAATTGAATCTGAATGAAATTTTGTTGACAAGCAGCGGTCCCTTCGTCGTGAAGTTGAACTTGCGTTGTCTGGAGTCCAATATCCTTCGTTGTGAAGTTGAAATTGGCTCTGAGATTGGGAAGTTGTTGTTGACAAGAAGCGGTCCCTTCGTCGTGAAGTTGAACTTGCATTGTCTGGAGTCCAATATCCTTCGTTGTGAAGTTGAAATTGGCTCTGAGATTGAGAAGTTGTTGTTGACAACCAGCCGTCCCTTCGTTGTGAAGTTGAACTTGTGTTGTCTCGAGTCCAATATCCTTCATTGTGAAGTTGAAATTGGCTCTGAAATTGAGAAGTTGTTGTTGACAGGCAGCGGTCCCTTCGTCGTGAAGTTGAACTTGCGTTGTCTGGAGTCCAATATCCTTCGTTGTGAAGTTGAAATTGGCTCTGAAATTGAGAAGTTGTTTGTTGACAACCAGCCGTCCCTTCGTTGTGAAGTTGAACTTGTGTTGCCTCGAGTGCCACGATATCCTCCTTCGTGGAGTTGAAATCGCAGATGGCCCCTTCGTGTGAAGTTGAGCCTTGACTTGAATATCCTTCATCGTGAAGTTGAAATCCAAGTATTGTATGTTGCGGGTGGACACAATTCCCTTCGCCGTGAAGTTGAAACCGTAGAGACCCCTTTATTGTGAAGTTTGGCTTCGAGCTAGATATCCTTCGTCGTGAAGTTGAAATCCACTCTCGAGCAAATCGTGTCGCTTTGAGTTCAATATCCTTCGCCGCGAAGTTGAAATTGACTCTAGCTAAAACCAGAAAAAGTTATGCATATATGTGATGCTATGGATGCAATTCTCTTAGGTGTGCCTAAAATGCATATGCAACATATGTTATCTTGGGGCTCTGGAGAGAAATCTCGATCTCCAGTTGCCTGTCTGGAATCTTGATTCTTGAATCTTCAAATTTTGATCCCTGATCTTGAATTCTTCAAATGTTCAAATCTGATGTGCACATTCTATTTTTGATTTGAGAAATGCTTCTCGACCATCTCAAGTGTGTGCCTGAGCTGAGTGTAACGGTTCAGATGATGCTTCAAAAGAAGTTGTCTTGAAAGAGATAGAATTTGTTTCAAGGGAAACGATCTCAAAGATATCTGTTGTTTCATGAGAAACGGTCTCAAGGGAAACAAAATTATGTTTTAAGGGAAATAAATTTGAAGATTTTGTGTTTCAAGAGTAATTGTCTCAAGGGAGACAAAATTTGTTTTAGGGGAAATAAATTCAAAGATTTTGTTTCAAGGGAAACTGTCTCAAGATAGACGAAAATTGTTTCAAGAGAAACTATCTCAAGAGAGACAAAACTTAGTTCCAAAAGAAACTGTCTCAAGGGAGACGGTATTTGTTTCAAAGAAAACATATTCAAATATTTTGTTTCAAGGGAAACTGTCTCAAGAGAGACAAAATTTATTTCAAGGGAAACTGTCTCAAGATAGACGAAATTTGTTTCAAGAGAAACTGTCTCAAGAGAGACAAAATTTGTTTCAAGGGAAACTGTCTCAAGAGAGACAAAACTCTTCTAGTGAAAACGGTCTCAAGCGAGACAAATCTTGTTTTAAGAAAAACAATCATGAGTGAAATAAATCTTCTTTCGAGTAAAACAGTCCCAAGTGAGACAAAGTCTATTTTAAAAAAGCAATCTCAAGTGAGATAATCATCTGCATTAAATGAGACTGTCTCAAGCGAGACAGAATTTATATTGGAAATGTCGAATCTAAAAATGAATGTCGATCTTTCTATCTGTCGAGTTGGTTGAAGTGTAGCTTCTTGCTGCTGAGCTAAGCAACCGACATCAATCTGTAAAGGTGCTTTTGAATCGAGTATCCTTCGTCTTGAAGTCGAACTTGACTCTAAAGCTGTAAAAATTATGTACGTGGAAAGAAAATGATAGATATGACGCTCTAAAATATATGCATAAGATGCATGTAACATGAATTGGTTATATTTTATCTCCTGAAAAAGGTCTGATAATTCGCATTAGGATGTTGAATCCCCAAAGATGCCTCAATATCCAAAAATGCCCCAATATTTGATGTTGAATCTTCAAAGATACCCCAAATGTTCCTCATTTCTTGCTTCATCATTGATTCTAAGCATGAGCTTTGTGTTTGAGAGTCACATGTCATTTACCAAGATCCACTCTAGAGAGACTGTCTTGTTTGAAAAAAAAATGTTTTTCTTTCTCTTTTATTTTCAAAGTCATGAAATATCAATTAAAAGAGTTTCAAAAAATGTTTAATCTCAAGTTTTAAAAATATTGCCCCTATCACGGTTTTACAATTGAGACGAATCATAAAACTAGAGTTCATCGGATATCAAAGAATTAATTACAATGTTAATCCTTCAATAAATTATGGTTATTTGACAACTGCCAAGATCCAAGCTATCTTTGGGAGATAGTCAAGTAAGGAAAGGATAAAAAGTCTCAGGTTATTGTGTTTGGTCAAAGGTTTGGCATTTGATGCTCAAAGGTTTGGCATTTGATGCTCAAAGGTTTGATGGGATAGCATGCATGCTCCTCTACTGGAAGTGTTCTTCGACTCCCAGTATTCGTGGTCGCACTCGGATTGTGCGATGCCTTATCAAGGAATTTATGTGATCGCCTCAGTTGCACAATTTTTATATTCGAGCCGCCTTTTCAGGTTTTCAACTCGAACTCTCCTTTGGTTTCAAGACGCTATTAAGGATGTACGTCTTGAACCCCCCTTTGTTATTTTTCTTTACCATGCATTAATTACATTGTTTTTTGCAAACAAAGATTAATCCTGATGGGCGGGATGAAATCTGAAGATAGTCTCTTCTGTTT